AAGAATTTTTAAGTTTTTACTATATGCATATAGGGAAAATCTAATGACCCCTGGGGTGGGGTCAATTTTGACCCCCAGGGCTTTTATTTGAACAAACTTGGTAGACATTCACTAGAAGATGTTTCATGCCAAATATCTAAGCTCTAGCTCTTTATGGTTCTTTAAAAGAAGATGTTTTATTTTTTTTACTATATGCATATAGGGAAAAATCAATGACCCCCCGGGGTGGGCCAATTTTGACCACAGGGCTTTAATTTGAACAAACTTGGTAGACACTCACTAGAAGATGTTCATGCTAAATATCTTAGCTCTAGCTCTTTGGGTTCTTTAAAAGAAGAATTTTTAAGTTTTTACTATATGCATATAGGGAAAATCAATGACCCCCTAGGTCGGGGCCAATTTTGACCCCAGGGCTTTTATTTGAACAAACTTGGTAGACATTCACTAGAAGATGTTTCATGCTTAATATCTAAGCTCTAGCTCTTACGGTTCTTTAAAAGAAGATTTTTAAGTTTTTACTATATGCATATAGGGAAAAATCAAATGACCCCCGGGGCGGGGCCAATTTTGACCCCAGGGCTTTTATTTGAACAAACTTGGTAGACACTCACTAGAAGATGTTTCATGCCAAATATCTTAGCTCTAGCTCTTACGGTTCTTTAAAAGAAGATTTTTTAAGTTTTTACTATATGCATATAGGGAAAATCAATGACCCCCTGGGGCGGGGCCAATTTTGACCCCAGGGCTTTTATTTGAACAAACTTGGTAGACACTCACTAGAAAATGTTTCATGCCAAATATCTAAGCTCTAGCTCTTAGGGTTGTTTAAAAGAAGATATTTAAAGATTTTTCTTTCGGATGCCATGGCAACCAGAGTTCTGCATGGAATTAAATTCTTTGAACAATTTTTAAAGGTGACCACCAAAGGAACATTCCTGTGAAGTTTGGATGAAATTGGCTCAGTGGTTTATGAGGAGATGTCATTTAAAGCAAATGTTTACGGACGGACGACGGACGGACGGACGGACGCCGGACGAAAAGCGATCACAAAAGCTCACCCTGTCACTTTGTGACAGGTGAGCTAAAAAGTGATCTGAGGGATTACCAAACATTTGCCAAAAATAAATCACTTCATATCATAACAATATTATAATGTCCTTTCTTCAGATTTCCGGGGATGTAGGATTTTTCGGACGAGGAGGAGTGACAGTTTCAAAATGTGACACAGCTTAACTTCATGGCTTCTTGGCATTCGAATTAAACGTATTTTTTGTTTAACATTGGAAAGAAATATAAACAGTACTTCACAGCCATCTTCAATCTGCTTCAAGATATCAACTCTTGTTCAGTTCCTTAAGTAAAACGGCGTTAATGTTGTTAAGATATGTAAAAGAGGACTTTTCATAAAAAGACAGTGAAATGACCAGGCGGCCATTTAACGAACGCTCAAAGAAGGGAAAAAATATTGTGCTGCACGAAAAAAAATGAATTTTTTACTGTTGATTTAAAAATGAACTTCCCAAGAGACAACAACTAGGATAAAATTCACTTCAGTGCCCGTAGAGTACAGAAAGGCTTTTTAATGTAATTAGTTTTCTTTTCAGCATAAATGTGTGTAGTGTGTCTTTACCCATGGATTAGCAAACAAGTCAAAATGTATATAACTAATGAATAGTGCAATAATAAGATAATTTCAAAGAAATAAAAAATATGTATTTTTCTTCAATTTTACTGTTTTAAAAATACAAATTTTAACTCTTTCTTACAAATACCCCGTAGGTAGCCTTTTAAATAAACACATATTTGTAGCATGAAATTTTTGTGTTTTGGAGTATGACCAATTACATAGTAATACATGAACACAGTCATATACACAAACTATACCAGTTACACAAAATGATGGACTTGTGGCAGCTGTAAAAAGTTGCCCCGTACTTCACTTCAGTGTTGTTATATTTTCTGGTCCTTCGGGATCATTGATGCCAGCACTATTAAGTGTTGAGATTTGAGTGCCGCTCAAGCCGGTGCTAAGGGGCGTGTGGGATGTTGCACTTATTCAGTATCTCTCATGTACAGACTCAATCAAACCGAGCCTGCAATTCTTATGTAATTTTGTTGTGATTAATGCTTCCGAGGGATCACTTTGTTTCCAGAATTTTACACGCATACAGTACTGTATACATAAATTTACATCGAGGATTTTACCAACTGGAGAAAAAATAAAATTGCAATCCGATTAACTTAGAAAACATGATAACACAAAATAAATATGGAAAATGTTGTTTTATTGTTGTTTATATTGATAAATGATCTTCATAATTTTAAGTTAGAATAACGTTTTGTGCCAGTTTTTTTCTTAAGATCCTGTGTGCTTTTAAGAGCGGATCGGATGTCAAAAAAATCCGGAAACAAAGTGATCCCTCGGTTTATAAATCTTCAATGTTAAGCTTTGATTATTGCGATTGATTATGTCATCTAATTTTTGCATGCAAGTGACTACAGTTCATTCAACGACAGCACTGAGAGCTGATAACGTCATTTTGCAACTCTCATTCACTCGCCCATTATGGAACAATAATGCCGATTAGCAAATTCTGGAAACAAAGTGATCCTTCGGAAGCATTAATCACAACAAAATTACATGAGAATTGCAGACTCGGTTTGATTGAGTCTGTACATGAGGGATAATGAATAAGTGCAACATCCCTCACACCCCCTAGCACCGGCTTGAGCGGTACTCAATTCTCAACACTTTATAGTGCTGGCATCAATGATCCCGAAGGACCAGAAAATATAACAACACTGAAGTGAAGTACGGGGCAACTTTTTACGGCTGCCACACAGCACTTGACACCTGCTGTTGTAAAGTACAAAATTCTGCAAGGCGTTCGAAATTGCATAATGGCCTCGATCTTGCCATACTGGCACTGAATTACCCTAGATTTTGTTTCTATATGTAGTAACATAGGTATTTACAGTCTGCACGAAAAACTTTTTATGGACAAAGACATTCGGGCTTGGTCCATTAAAATATCACATAGCCCGAACAAATTTTAGGTAGCCCGACAATTCATACAAAATTTTTCATAATTTGGCCAGGTTTTCAAATTTATATATATTGTGAAGAAATTGATAAAAAGCTTTGTCAGTTGAATAACATTTATTTCTAATATTCTACACTGAAAGATAATAGATTTCTTTCAACTTCTTGTTGACTCATTTCCATAGGCTCATCTTCATCTATACCAGAATCATAATCCGAGTCGCTGTCTCTGTCAGAACATTCCCCGTGGTTATGATGCTGAAAATATTACGGAAAATAAAGTGAAATTCATTGTTATTAAATAAGAATAAAATTTTTCAAAACAACACAAATGTTTTACTTTTTAATATTATAAGTATATTAAAATTCAAACCTAAGCTAACATGGCAAACTTGTGAAATGGATAGCTTTTCTTTGAAATCGGAACAGTCAATTTATAATTATTATTTAAAGTTTTAAGTGATTTCATTATCAAAATACAAAATATGGTTAGTCTAGACAGTAAGACTGCAGTATAAAATTGAACATGGGTTGTAAAGGTAAAGAGCTGAATTCTGGTTGCTTGTTTTTTTTTAAAAGTATTAGTAAACAATTAACAACTTCATGAAAAATGTTTCAAAAAGTAGCAATATACCTCTTCAGCAAATACTTGTTCTGGAGCAAAACTTTCTAAAGGTTTGTCTGTGTTGATATCAGAATCTTGCTCTTGCTCTATAATACATGCATCTAGATCTGACAAGGTGGGAGGAGTCTCCTCTGATAGGTTTGGAGGCTCCTGCTCTACAAGAACAGACTCCTCTGTTGGATTATCAGAGAGTAATTCAGACTCTTGCTCCTTTGGGATGGCTGGCTGTTGCTTAAAAGAAATAACAGTTTTATTACTTTTTTATATGTAAATTTAGAATGTAAATCTAATCATGGATATACTTCTATGTAATTTTATATACTTAATTAAATTGGTCCTCTTATTACATTATCAAATTTAGCCCTGGCTCAATTGCACATGGCCAGTGTAAATAAGTTCGGGCCAGTGTAAATTTTACGTAAATTAAGTTAAATATATAGTAGAATTAAAACTGGAATTTGGCCAGTAAATTCAAAATCTTAAAATCATTGACAGTTATTATCAATCAATATTATTTTTTGAAAAAGGAGGTTACCATTTTGGTTGCAATCAAAAATTCCCCCTGTGTCAATTGTTCTTTGGGAGCTGCCGATTGTGATGTCCCAGTTTCAGTAGCAACACGTCTTTTATAGCATAATTTCCTTCGGCGTCCAGATGGGGTTATCTGAAAATAAAATCATAGGAATTTACTTGATCTTTTATAAGTATTGATCAATTTTTTAAAGGACATTACAAAATGAGAGGGATAATAATTGTTAAATTCCAAAACCTACCATCCAATGGTCAATGGCATCACTTGGGTCGAACAAACCAATCTTTGGGCTGCTTAATTCAAGTGTTAGCAGGTCACTTAGACTACCAGTTTTCATGTGTCCCCTTCGTTTCGTTTTTGTCAGTTTACTCAAGGAAAAGCATGTTTCATTGCTTACACTTGTTGCCGGAAGACATAGGAGCAAATCTATTATAAGCCTGATGTTCTTATATTCATTGGGAAAACTACTTAGAACTTCCTCCCACAAAATCTTGCCAGGGTGAGACATTTGATCACCATACCTGTAAAAAGATGAAGCTGTATTACAATGCAGAAATGTTGCTGTTAAAATAATGTAACTTTTTTTCTGATCAATCTTCATTCCAAAGTCTTGTTGTGTTATGTTTTTGCAATAGTATTATTTATTGGTTTTAAATTGTTTAAATGGTATCTACTTCTTTATCACACTTTGAAGGCAATGGGAATGTATATATCCTTTGAAATAACTAGAATTACCTGTTGTACACAAGTGACTTCAAGAAGACCCACTCTTGTAAGATACTGTCTTCAGTGCAATCTTCACTAAGACCACCATTGCGAAGAGTCATTGAAAAGCTTCTGAAAAAGCAGCTATTACTTCTTCCTCACCATACCCTGTAATAAAAGTTATATCACATTTTGAAATAACATTTTCTCAAATCTGGAAGGAAACCTTAAAAATGTAGTTGTTATATGACGATGACCTATCAATTGCCTAAAATATTCTGATTTCTACATTTAAAAAATAGAATTTAATCCTTGTTCTTGTTTACAACATGTACAGACTCAATCAAACAAGGTTTGCAATTTTCATGTAATTTTGTTGTTGTTAATACATCTGTGATCTGCATACTTGAATTACCTCCTCATCTAAACTGTTAAATGATAATATGTACTTTAATGAAAGTAAAGATGGGCATATAAAAAATACTTGAATGTGTTCTTGTAGAATAATGCATAGTTCAAGTTCAAATGTGCAGGAATATAATCAAGAAAGCCATAAGCCAAAAGCATTTGGAAAATAATCAACACTGAATTATTGTATTGCTATGCAACAAAAGTTGAGTGCTATAAAATAATTTCAAATACACTTACTTGCTTTTCATATGCATAAGAGCATCTGTGGTTGCTTGTAATATGTAGAAGTTGTCCGCAAGAGTCGATGATCTTTCTTGTAACATCAATGATAGTTTTATCAAGGGCTGAAGAATGACCTGAAGTTAAACATAAAAATGGTAATATACAGACTTGGTAAGACTAAGCATGTCCATAGACTGCATTGCTCTATGCAAGCTATTTTCTGGAGTATAAGCTGAATGAGAAATTAGCATGAAAAATACTGCACACATAGTGACATAGTAAACTGAAATGATTTTCAGAAGTCAAGACTGAAGAGGTAACAAGTTTATTTCAAAATTGATGAAATACAGTTTATTTTGTTATATCTAAAAATTAACTTTTAATTTTATGTTTGGGTACTTAAAATAAAAAACATCACTTTCAAAATATACCTTAAGATCCAGAATGAAAACAAACACAGAAGCATCAAGGAGGATTCTTGCAAGTCCATCAGCTTTCGGATTTTTATGCGACGAGGTTTCCAAATGAAGCTTGAAAGCTTGATAACCTTTCAAAAAAACAGAAATAGCCCGATAGATATGTGGCAACCATCTGGTTCCTCCTATCCTTGTTGGCAGTACCACCCTTTTATCTAAGATACTGAATGACCGCTTGAGCTCCTGCTTCATCTTTGGACTTTTCCTGTACAAGTAATACAGTCCTGAAATATAAAAACTTCATAGAAAACTTTCATAGGCATTATTATGACTTGATAAATATAATTGTCAAAGATAACAGTTAATTATGTTGGGAGCAAATAAATGTCACCATTCAATTTAAAAGTATTGATAAGTTTAAATTACCTAATAGCAATGTTACTGCTTTGTCGTATAGCTTCAACTTTTTTACTGCATCTTTGTAAGCAAGCTCAACACGATGAGCCATACAGTGCATCACCAATGTCTCCCTATTTTGTTGCCTCACAAATGCTGCAACACCCATGTTTTTACCTGAAATAAATAAAGATTTTATTAACTTCAAAATTTCCATTTTGGGTAAAGAAATCACATCATTAAGCAGTCACTGACAAATAAGCATAGACAGTTCTGTACAAGTTGCGTTACCTTTTATTTGGAATTTATTCTAGCCTTTGAGCAAACACAAGTTTATAATACTTTATTACTACATGTCTGTTTCATGTGATTTTTGACTGCTTGTACCTTGATATTTACTGTATTAAATCATCATGGTTACCTTGCATGTTTGACGCACCATCAGAGCAGAAGCCAGCAATTTTATTCCAGTAAGTCTCACTGCCATCATCTAGGTTTTTTAAGCTTGAATCAATGTAGTCGAAGATGTCTTTTCCAGTAGATGATGTGGGTGTTCCTGTAAACATGTATAAATTACATCATTTGAGCACATGTCATGCATTAACAAAATCTAGATTTATTTCCAAGAACTGTTCATTTTAGTTAGGATAATATTCTTTAAAATTACATTACCATTAGTCTGCATTTATATTTTAGTTCCTGTAGTTTATTCATTCACTGAAAATATTTAAATAATTTTTATTATAACATGTATTATTTCTTTGCAATTGTACTAACCTACGCTTACAAATCTTTCTGTTATTTTCCCAATGTTTGATGTTTTTAAGAATAAACTTTCGTACTCGTCACCTGTAAAATCGGAGGTACCATCACAAGAGAAGCTAACAAAAGGTGAATTCTGAAACAACTGTTTTGTATTTGAATATTCTGTTGAAGCAATGTGTTAAATAAAATCTGCACAAGATTTGTCATTCAAATATGTATTGCCTATATCAATTCCTTTGCTTTTGTCAAGGGCACAAAGTACATTGTAAGTCTTGAAAGACAAATTGTGTTTAGCTACAGCATGTGCATTCTTAAACAACACAGTTAGCTTAGATCTTTCTGCCTGTTTTAACTGGAGAAGAGCCTTCCACTCTTGGTTTTCAAAGTGTCACTCTCTGAAATCGGTTTCTGAATTTTAAGAACTGACTGTGTGTGGCACTTTGACTTGTTATGCGAGACAACCGCTTCAAGCTTGAAATTAGTACATCCGACCACAAAATTATTGTTGATGTCACCGTTCCCTTCACACACTTCACAATACATTCTTCCGTTTTCAAATTTCAACCATTCCCTCCCCACCCTCCAATGGCTTTGAAAACTTCGTATCCTTTTCTTTTCATATTCCTTTTTCGGTGTTGTTGTGCTTTCTTCAATCTTTAAACGTTTTCCTGGCTTAGAGCCCGGCGTCCACTTCAAAATGTGCGCCATTTTGACATTTTAATAACGCGGTATTTGATTGGCTTAAAATGTCTATGCATTATTTCAATAAGCTTACCCCTCTGGCGTTTTGGAAATACCAGTGTCAATACCCCGAAAAAAATCAATATGCTATACCCCTCTCGGCGGTTATAAATAGTATCGGACGTATATTGGAAAATCCCGTGTCAATACCTCGAAGAAAATCAATATGTTATATCCCTCCCAGTCATTGTGTTTAAAATGCTATTTATAATCATTTCGGTTTCCCAAACAATGCAAGACCGTCGGACTATGTGCCCTGCCTTTTTAGCTAGCCCGAATGATTTTTTACTAGACTCGGGCTCGGGCTTTGCGTATTTTTCGCAGACTGTATTTATACGATATTATATAATAACATAGGTATTAATACGACATTATAGTGTCCCTCTCATTTTATTTTTTTCAGATTCCCTTGGATGTAAGTATTATAGTGTCCCTCTCATTTTATTTTTTTCAGATTCCCTTGGATGTAAGATTTTTCAAACGAGGAGGGATGACAGTTTGAAAATGTGACACAGCCTAACTTCACAACCTGTTAACTTTTGAACTAAACAAACATTGAAGAGAACGATATACACTGCGGTATACCGTTCCCCGGATATTGCTCAATATTATGAGGACTTTCATCCCATTTCGCGACTTTGAACGGGGAACGAAGGTAAGTTCAGCAACGATTTTTTCCAAACTAATGGCTATTTCATTTATCTAAACGGGTTTTATATATCTAGAGGTATTTTTGTAGCTCTAAAAGACATAAAAGTATTACAGGTATTTGTGAAATTGATTAAACTACCCCTAAACGATCCGCTGCTCACTAGAAAAAACTGACCGCGATACTGTAGAATCGTTAGAAATTATTTTATAACCAATTTTAAAAAAAAAATTGAATCGAGCAATTTTTTTATTCACAATCCAAGTATGCTTTGTCCAAATTTCAGGCAAAAAGTGTGGAAGTACAAAAAGATACAGGCCAAAAAAGATACAAGAAAGTGTACCGAGTATTGATTTTAAGTGTACAGAGTATTGCAAAATAGCCCAATTTAAGTGTATAGTGTATTGCAAAACAGAATGAGCACATTAGTATGGAAAATCGATATTTTTGTCTATTATTTTTGTCTATTTTTACGTCTGTTTATCGATTCCATCTTATTTCGCTGATAATGTACTGTTGATATGATATTTATTCAAATATTTCAGATTCAACAATGCATTTTCAGTGTTATTACTGTTCTTTTTCTACGGGCAAATACAGAGATTTAATTTCCAATTTGATTGAAAGTCACACTGTGGGTGAAATAAAATGTGTGCAGGGTCGCAAGCAGGGTCGGGAGCAGGTAGAACCATCAAAATATTTAAATACATGTCTCAAGAAAATGTGTTTCTGAAAAGAAGAAGAATACAAAACAAATTTTGATGACATTAATAATAGGTTTTTACAGGGCAAGTTTGCCTTAAGAAACATATCGACACACTTAGTAAAATATTGGCCCGCGGGCTTATGCCGTCCAAGTATGCCGGTATCGGAGGATATTGCGAAAAATGGCTGTTTTCATTGAATTAAGCCTCCTGTTACAAGTTCAAACTGCTATGAAACTGTAAAAAATGCTTCAATACTGATCAAGCTCGGCACAAATGTTGGCTGGACCATAGCCTGTGGAATAGCATGCTCAATTTCAAATTTCCAGTTACCATGGCAACGAGAGGACGTCTCAAAATTGCAAAAAAAAATCTCTATTTTGCGTTGTTTTCTTTTCCGTAATAACTGATTTCAAGTGCAGCAACTTCTCAATTGATTGAGATAAAGTTTAAGGCTTTTCGGCGTTGAATACACGGCATCTTTAAATCGATCTGAGGCCATTATACCCCCGCCCACACAAGTCCCAAATCTCGGCGATTAGAGGGGCTACTGTCCCACTTCAAACCCCTTAACAGAAGGGGCACATCCCCCCTGTGGTACCCCTTGATGTACCTCTTTATTGGGGTTTTACACTATTTGAGGCCTCAAAAGGGTGTGGTGTGAAGCCTTCAAAACACGCCTTTATGAAGTGAAAGGTTATAAGGAACATAACCTTTTTATTGCATCTGCTGTCCTTAATCATTGGCGTCCGCGCCGAAGCGCGGCGCCCTTTTATGTAATGAAATCAGATTTTGTGAAAGGGCGACAGCAACTTCTCGAGCCTTTATAGTTGTTCATAATAAAAGCCGATCATTCCGATCGGTATGAGGGTGCTTGATTATTACTTACAATGAATAGCGAACTGGAGAATTTTGCAATGCAAACATTTTCAAATTAATTAACCTTTTCCGTCAATAAATCGCGCTCTTCGGGGTATTTTTATTTATCATTTTGTAGTACACAGTGGGTAATTATGGTATGTTATTCCGAAAGCTGTAAATAGAATGTTGAGTTGATGACCTAAATATTCCGAAAATCTATTTATAGAGGGATGTACTCTTGTCGGTAATTCCCGGTCTCTCCTGGTCTATTTTGACGACCGGCGAATAGTACCACACGTTTATTGTCCGGTCTCTTCCGGTTTTGGAGTAGATGTTTGATATCGTTACAGAACAGAACAAATATTTTACAGATAAATAAGCTTTTTTTCAAAATGAATGTTTGTCACTTAGTTTGGTTACAATAATTAATAAAAATAGATCAACTCTCAAATTTATTGATTATTATTATACATAAACATACAATTCGAAAAAAAAAACCAACAACACAAATCGCATGTTTTATTTTATCTATATGAGATAAAAACAATAAATATGTACAATAATTGAGAAAAAATGTACATTTTTATGGCATTAATATGACACTATCAACTTTGAAACATTTTATTTAATTTGTTATTCGTGTTTAGTAAAGATGCTGAGGAATTATTCAAAGTTACAAATCAGATTTTATGAATTATTCAATTGATTGATAATTTAAAAAATGATAAAGAAAAATACAAATGTATATACATGTATATGGTTTAAGAATAAACAATATTATATATTGAAAGTTTAACCATAATTTACTGACTTTTTCCTGTTGAGTTTTGACTTATAATCATCGGTCATTATGACAATTGAATTCTTAAAATAGTAGTAAACGTAAAAACTCAGTATTAAAGTAGTGCATAAAACACAAAAAAGAAAAGAAAACAATATTCATAAAATCTGTATTTTTTATTAAAAAAGATATTACAATTAGTGTATAATAAACATTTATGCTCAACATGGTAATATAACAAGTGTCATATTGTTACTAAGTGTGAACAGATAGCTTAAGAGGGGGTCTTCGCTAATAGCGATAACATAATAAGGGACAATTACACAAGTGTGGTGTTGATCATGCGTTACTCATATGGATTATAAATGATTGTATACATGTATATCCGTTGCTATTAATAACCACGATCATAAAGAAATAGCAAGTAGTATTCTAATTTCTAGCATGCCAATCAAAGTTATAAATAATGAACAATGTCTTTCGTTCGTTCATTCATAAGTGATATACAATTCTGGTAAAAACCAATGAACCATTGAACAGTTTATAATAATATCTTGTCATTATATATCTACTAGTTCATCTGCACCTGCTGCATATCTTGCTTGGACGCCCTTTGATGCTTTGCATCAATGCTTTTCTTGTAATCTTATTAAAATCCATTATTCGGTTTTTGAGCTGTACATACGGTAACTCGTTGCTAATGACGTAACCATTTTCACGTGCAGACGGTCTGCCGTTGCTAGAGTGCAGGTGCAAAATGACCGAAATTTACCTTTATATGGATTTTTGGCATAGTAGGAAGTCGGTTTATATCAGATATTGGCACATGTCACGGTTCAGAATTGTTCATTATTTCGGGGTGATAATGTGTAAGAGGCGGGATAGCTCAGTCGGTAGATCTCGAGCCGCGGTACGGTATTCCGATGGTCCCGGGAATTAGTGAACAGTTTTGAACCGTGACACACTTCCTCAATACCGTCTACTATTGACAATCTTGAGGCAGCATACATGCACTTTGGATGCATTTTTTTACTATTTAAAGTAAGATATGCAATAATTATTAACAAAGTCTGGAAATGTTGTTCCTTCGATAGCAACGAGAACCTTTTAAACACAGAAAATTGCTGGGTACGTTTGACTGAGATTTTTCATCATCAGAAAATCTGGATTATTTGCAGATGTTTCCAGTAAAGTACCTCCGAACTCTGCCTATTCTGCACATATAGTGTAAATAAGTATACACAATAAGATATATTTAAGATTAAATGTTGTAAACACTCTGTGTTTACTACTTGTATTTACTCGATATTAATAACCAATACTCGTTACACTAAAGGCAATACTCGTGACACCGGCGGGCAACTCCAACGCAATACTCGGTACACTGACAGGTGTATTTATTCTAAAAATGCACTGTCATCTGAGGTTCTATTGTTGATTGAACATTTAAAAACATATACATTATCATCATTAACACATTTCACTCGATTCAAGCTTTTCTTTTGAGGAAGTATATGCAGAAAAACATCAAATTTAACTGATCCGAGCTCATTTATCACGTGAGCAAAGATCATTACATTTCAAAGCTATTTCTCAACATTTTTGGGGTCTCAGTAACTAGAGAAATTATCGAAGTATTTGTTTTGCTATAAAATTTATATCAAACCAATTCAAAATGACTTAATATCGTCAATGAACTTACCTTCTTTCCTCGTTCAAAGTCGCGAAATGGGATGAAAGTCCTCATTATATCGAGCAATATCCGGGGTACGGTATACCGCAGTGATATATACAGTACTTCACAGCCATCTTCAATCTATAAAAAATACCAACTTTTGTTCAGTTCCTCAAGTAAAATGGCGTGGTCAGCATTTACGAAAGAGAACATGTTACAAAAAGACAGTAATATGACCAGGTTTATGACATTTGACGCTCAAAGAAGAAAAAATATTGTGCTGCTGGAAAAAATAATGAACTTTCTTCTGTTGATTTGAAATTGAACTTCGCAAGAGACAACAACTAAAATAAAGTTCATTTCAGTGCCCGTAGAGTGCAGAAATGCTTTTATAATATAAAGAGAGTTTTCTTTTAGCATAAATGTTTGTCATATATTACATATATTACACTTTATTTAATGTAATGAATGACGCAATAATAATTTACTAAAACACAAAAAAAAGAAATCTTCGTCCGATAGATAAAATACTCAAGAAAATTTATATTGTAAATTTCACATACATATGTAAAAGAGTATTTTGAAGATCACATGTAGAAGATGGTGTAAAATAATATTTCAAAGAAATAGAAATAATGTAGTTTTGTGCTAG